TTGTAAGTTTATTCATTCACAATGGCATTTGTTCCTTTTTCTAACAGCTGCCCAGTGCCCAAACCCCGCAGTTCCTGTCTACGCCAAAGCAAGTTTCTCCAACGACGACCGGAGAGCGGGTACGGTCGTCACTTACTCCTGTGACGATGGTTACGAACTCTTCGGGTAAGTGAACTCCACGAATATCTCCGGTGTAAAAAAAAGCCCATGCAAAATGTAACATGCAAAATTGAAGTTATTTTGATCATTCCGCTACATCAGGGTAGCACAGAACGTGTTGTGGATGCATTACGCGCGCGCGCTATGATTGAACTGCTATGCTTGTGACGAAATGCTTCGGCTGGTTTCGTAACCATTATGCGCATCTTACGCTCATGCACGCTCCCGGCGGGCTTATCAGAATGCTCGAGACAAGTCTCAATTTATTCAGGACGCGCGACGTCTTGAGATACTGCGGGGAGCTGCGCTTCTTTATTCATGAGCCAGATATGCGTTATGCGACAGTCACCTGCTAACGCATGATCCATTGAGTAATGCTTAGCCCACCTGCTCGCTCCCCCTTTCCCCTTCTAGTGTCAGCGAGCAAAGGGTTTGGGTTGAAAATCGCGCGGTGCGGAGTTTGATTCCCAGATGCGCAGCTTGGTAAACCGTGCTGATGGTATAGCTAATCATAACTAAGTATGCTTATGCACTGCCTGCTATGGGCTGTGTGTCTTGACGTTCATGTTACGGCTTCTCGTCAGACTCGAGCTCGGCGCTTCTTATGCAAAATCTAATTCATGAACATAACCTGTGCTAAAACTGGAGCAGTTTAATCTCCAAAACACGGCACTGTTGACAAGGAGAGTTGAACTTCTGTCTCATAGCATTTTAACAGACCGTGCAAGATGCAACTGATCAAGTCCAGAGAGTAAAAGAGAGCTGATAGAAAGACAGAGAGGTGCGCCTCAACCAGTTGTCCTATACGGGCTTCATCCGAGTTCTAGAGTCCAAACCAGACATTATTCCACCGTGCCCTTACGAAAAACAAAGACAGAAATCAATACGCCATATTATTTGCCCAAGATGCGACAGCACCCGCCGCAGAGGTGGCTCCACTGCCGCCATGCGCTCCTCTTAACGATCTTCCCGAAGCCTACATTTCTTTTATTTCACAAAGTGACAAACCCATTAAGTTTTTTTTATAAGTTTCTTTTTAATATGTCGACATCGATTGTGAGTAACCTCGATTAAGAAATGATAAAGCAGACTTCGTAGGAATCGTATTCGTCAAAGTAGGTCCACTGAAAAGCCATCGCGGGATCCGGTGACGGGGTGCGATTCTAATGACACAAGAAAAGACAAAGAAAACTTTGCAGGGGCAACACCTCTAAAAGACAAGGCCTTGCGCATTTCTCGATCATTAGTGAATCTCCGCCCAACCCGACCCAAGCGGCAAACACACCGAAGCTCGACCAGAGCTTCGGTGTGTTTGCGGCTTGCAGCAGACGCGTCCGTCTTGCAAAGCGGCAGACGCGTCCGTCTTGGCATCACCGCGTGCTAACGTCGAGTGCGTTGTGAGACTCTGCAAGACGCATTGTTGCCGACGCTGACTCAAGGTAGATGGCGCTTCGCGTATCATAATCGTTATCATCATCGTCATCAGTGACGACGTAGGGGGGTAGAAACGCGCTGGCCCTGTCTTCTACGAGGTATTGGCAGGTGCGACAATCAGAGGGCCAGTGTCCCTGGAAACGGCCCTCAAGGGCACCAACGCCGAAAGTGTCGTTAAAGTCTCGCACAATGGAACTGTTCGTTTTGTATGCACGCGCTGGACGCTAGCGAAAAAGCGTTTACTGCACGAAACGCGTCCTTGGTAATGAACGCGTAGTGGATTTCCAAACGGCGCAGCACGAAATGCGTTATTTATAGAGTCCCTCCTGGACTGCTGTCCTTTAAAAAGAAAAAAAAAGAATGAAAAAAAGCACTTGGGATTGTTCTGGCGTGTGCGCGTAATGTTTTCATCTATGACAAAGATAGTGGGCTAAAATGTCTAATTCACATTTTAAAACAAAAGATAGCTTGCGCATCCGAGGTGTACTCATGGCCAGACAAAATAGAAACGCAAATAGGCAACCCAAGAAAAAAGAAAAATATATAGAGGGAGAACACGGGACCGACCGCACAGCTTTCGATCATTCTTTTTGAAAAGCTGAAAATTGTGCTGTTAGTGTTGTTGTTCTGAGCATATTTCTTCCGTTTATATGCAGTCAAAACACTTATGTGTGTTGTTTTTCTCACAGGCTAAGTATAATCTTCGCTGAAATAATGCTCTATAGAAGTCGGAGGACACCACAGTTTCGGAACTAACCGCTATCTGATTTTCAAGTTGTAAGCAATTTTCGGAAACTTCGAAGGAAAAAAATTACGCGCGCCATGACACCCACAGATAGTTGAAGATCGATGGCGACTGCTGCAAAAACCTAACAGCGCTTTTTTTTTTTTTGCTGAACGTTTAGGGAAATAGCATATATATGTGAAATAAAACAAGTACAATCTCCGAGGTATCGGCATCTGGTCTCGACTGCTAGCGCTGCATTCGAACGGCGACCGAGCGTCCGGCAATGTGTAGTTTCTTCTATGGAAAAGAGAACAATACATGACGAGCGAGGACGCGCGTGAGGTTCGTTCGATACTCTTTCATAAATAGAAGATGGGTCATCTCTTGTAAATGACTGACAGAAATACTATTTGTAATAATACTTAAAGGACTGTCTACAAGATACACGGGTTGCGTAAATCGCGTCTGAAATAAATATATAGCCCGGTGCCGAAACATTGAAGACACGAAATTTCAAAATTCGCTTGCATACTTGCCGCATGTGTTTTATTTCATTTTTTTTTCACGGAAAACGATAGTCGATTATAATCAATCATACTGGGTTACAAAAAGAGAATACAAAAAAGAAAAGTAAACTACCTAGAAAATGATGAGAAAGGCAAAACGCTGTCAATCAAGTTTATTATATTTGCTTGGACAGGGTGCAAGATATTTTGATGGGGAGGTTCAATGTTTTCTAGATAATATGTGAAAGATCTCGTCGTCTGTTTTGTTTTTTTGGTAGCTTGTAGACGGCCGCATGAGCGCATCCAATCATGTGCTTGTGCGTGTTTTGTTGGGAAAGGGGGGGGGGGGGGGGAGTAGATGCCCACATATTGTTCATAACAAGTGCGTCTATCATTCAAGTACGCAATGCAACATAACTTTTTCGTGTTGGTGATTTTAGATAGACATTTTGAAATTTAAAGCAAGAAAGAAAAGGTACGATAAGCCTGGTAAATGTTTAGTTCACATCACGCCCCAGAAAATGTATAGGTGTGTACATGCCCACATTTTGTGCCCCCTAGTTATTTTTTTATATAACTGGGTAGATTGCTAGATTGCTGCGATGATATTTCTGAAGTGGTCTCCTAAAAAACTAGGCTCTTGAAAAAAAAAAAAGTGCAGTAGGCTCCGTTAATGACGTAGAGCATAATTGGGTCACGACTCTCGGTGAAGGTCGTGCGGCGACGCTTAAGTTGTTGGGCCTATTTTTGGCGTCAGGGACGTATGTACATTTCACCCGCTTACTTTTTTCAGCACGGCGACCAGAACCTGCTCCGAAAAGAACCGATGGGTCGGGGAGCTGCCATACTGCGGTAAGAATGCCTGCCTCCGGCGACAGTAAATCCATACATATATGCATATATACTATACATTTACATATATCATAGATCACTGTAACAATCACCCACTGCGCGCAGCCATCTTGGTCTATACTGGGCTGTGGAACGGCTTCTGAGCATTCCTTGCAGCTATCTTCGGCATTTCGCGGTCGGATTATACGCGCGGCGGCACTCCAGAGAACATGATGCAATACACGCCCCAAAAAGGATTGGCATGGATGAAGAAGATTAGGTCACTGATACATTCACAATGGGAAGTATTCCCATGACGTCATACCACCATTTTGTTGTTGTTCTTGTTTTGTTCGAGTCAGCGCGATGAGACGTACGAGCGTCGGCGCACTACATGCTTGACGGCCACAAGTGAATCTTCGGAACGTCCGCCTTGGGTACTCGCCAGGCAGCTGGAGGGCTAATTTACGTCAGTCGCTATACGTTCGATTTACCGCACACCTCCTACACCAGCTGCGCCGGTGCACACCGTTGCATTCAATTTAAGAGTGCACTCTATCTTAAGGCACATACCGGAAGTAGACCGCCCTTGACTTTTCTCCACCGCGTCGCGGTTTTCCGCACCGGTGTAGGCAGGTGACCACAAACGGGGGGCTGGATGGCACATTGAGCAAACAGGTATGAAGCCACCGGAAGTAAGCGGTTCGTCCTCTTCCGAGCGCTGGTCTGAACTGTGCCCAAGGTGCCGGTTGTTTTTTTTCCATTTCCAGAGAGAACGAGTCTTGGGCAATAAGAGTACATACATTCGCGAGAAGTCCTCTTGTTTGGTGTGTGAGAATTTCAAAATTAAAGTTGAATAAGCGTTAAAAAGCCTCCATCTGGGGTTTAATGCCTAAAGAGGATTATTAACACCCACTTAGAAACATAAAAAAAAAACGTAAACAAAAACATGGACCGATTGCACTAAGAAGCTCAAAGAAACGCCTGACTTCCGGGACAAGCGTACTCTTTTCGGTGGCTTCACTCACGTCGACGTCGGAGAACAGCGAAGTCCCATCTAGCCTTCTATGGTAGAGTTCAATGGTCTAGGCCGATGAAGGTGAAAGGAACGGAGCATTTGTTTCACCATGTTTGCGATTGTGCTGCACGGGCCCATCGATTACTATCGCGCTCTAGCGCATTTGACGAAATGTCTGATCCGGACAAATTCATTCCTGTTGTGCTCGGGCGCAGCGGTGAACGTGGCGTACGGCAAGCCCACGAACCAGTCGAGCACGGTGCGGGGCGGCGACTCGAAGAACGCCAACGACGGGGACCTGACGACGCTGCACGAGAACCGCTTCTGTACCGAGACCAAGCTGGAGAACGCACCCTGGTGGCAGGTGGACCTCCTGCAGCCCTACGAGGTCCGAGTCATCCGGCTACTCACTCGAGGATGCTGCGGTGAGTGCATCCACGGAGAGCTTGGTCTTAACGAGCGTTCCATTCCGTTCAGAGAAGAGCAGCTATGAGCCGCAGTCTCTCTGCTCGTACATCATACATCCTTAAAACTCCCTACACTAGGGAGTTTCAGGGATGTAGGATTTCTCTAGGAGTTTAGGGATTTAGGAGTTTTAGGGTTCCCTACAGCTTCCTACACTAGGGAGTTTTAGGAAACCGTGTTTGCACATCTGATACGGTACGATTGGCCCTCCGGTACGAACTGCGCATGCGCTGACACAGAAGACTTGCGCATGCGCAGTTCGTACCGGAGGGCCCATTGTACCGAATCGGACGTGCAAAAACGGTTCCCTAAAACTCTCTACTGTCTGATGACGCTTGTTCCTTACTTGTCCGTCGGTTATGTCAAACTCGTCATACAACAACAGTCTGCAGACGAGTTCCAATGAAGCAAACATGCTCCGCACGTGCTTGAAGTGCGTCTGCAGATGATTATATCACGTCTCCGCTGCGAACACTGCATCTTTCGTATGATGCAGGAGCAATGTACTTGGGACTTCGCGGTTTAGTTCAAACAGCTGTGCCATTTATTGAGAAGTGATTCATTATATTATTCGGAAAGTTTGTTATATATCCACGGAGGACCATTTTCGCAAGCTCATGCAGTCACAACAAGCATTCCTTTCGTAGAAGATCAGTTGTGCAGTTCAATAATTGCAAAATGCCCCCCTCCCCCTTTCCCGAAGAAATTGGAGCGCTCAGTCTCTGCAAATTATGAGCTAGCAATTCAAACCGGTGGCCAAAGTTTAAGAGGTTGCCATTTGTCTGATTCAGGAAGTATGAATGGAGGCCAACGAAGGCTTCGAATAGACAAGGATGAATGGAGTCGACAACCATGAACGGTCCCCATTTTCGCATTGAAAGTTTCAGAAAATCACCTTATAACCTTCGAATAAAGTGACACCCAGTTCTGAAACTTGGGCATCTGGTTCGAACCACTGATGCTAACATCGGGATGGAAACTGATTGTTCGGCAAAACGTTGCTTATATATTAAAAAAAATGCTAGGTAAATGTTAATATAGGACACGCCTACTGCGTGTGCACCTTCAAAACGTCTGATCAGTCAATATTTGGTCACCGATAAAAGTAACAGGTAAAGAGTAACGATCCTATTTGTAACACGTGATGTACAGGTGAGCGCCCCAGCATTGCGCGCTCCCCGTGTGTACGAAGATGCTTAGCGTGCGGAGGTTTTCATTCGAGGGATCCCCACAACCCAGAAACGGAAAAAAAAAAAAAAAAACATAACAAGAAAGAAAAACATTCAGTTGTTCTCCCTACAAATTCTCGTTCATGCCTCTGTAAATAGTGACTTTTGATTAACGCAAACAACCGGATTAGCGCACCCGTTATTCCACAGCGGATGAGGCGAGGTTTTCTTCGTCGTTCAGACATCTGGCGCAGTCACAGTGGTAAAAAAACGGTAACGATTTTGATTTTATTGAAGCGAAATTGTCAACATTAGTAAGAATGCAGAAATGTTTGAATGACGTACGTGTCACCTCATGTTGACATTTTTTCAGATTTGTTTGTTTTTAAAGTTTAAGTTGCGTCTTTTCGGCTCATAACCTGCATGGCATTTTTCGAACAATGTGATTATTAACCTGAACTTTGTTTCGGTTTTGATTTATGTGCCACCATATTCTGACCGGCTGGTTGTTCTGGGGCATCAGGGAAATGAAGCATTATTAATATTATTATTATTATTATAATTATTACTACACCGAAGCTGTTTATGGCTAGGGTTCCGTGGATTTTTTATGTGCGTGAACAAAAACTTGCACCGGTCTCTCTTTGTCGTCGCTCCAAGCGCTTGAGTGCCTAGTTTCCTTTCCTTCCGCTCTCCCGGATCGGCGCGCCCGTCGCGCGTTTCTAGTTTTCTCCGGCTCCTCGAGGCGGCGATAGTTCGTACCCTTGTTCAAAATTCTGTCTCACGTCTGTGTCGTGCGCTAAACAGCTTCGCTGATTATTCGCCTTCCCAGAGTTGAATGGCTCATGATCATTAACATTATTAATATTATTATTATATCTTCCCAAAACAGCGTCGCTTCACGCCGTGGTCAGTGACAGAGCGAGACCGGCGTGCTTCGACCACGCGTTCACGCTCGTAGCTGACGAGACGATCAAGTATAATCAGAGGTAAAAAGTTCGCTCTAGAGTCGGACCAACTTGAAGCCTTTCTCGCTGCTCTCATCCTTTCAGCGACTAAAGAAACAAGCAGAGCACTGCGAAAACCACGTCAGCAATCGCGAAACACGCAGCACTCAAAAACGAAAGTAAAATAAAATAAAAAGACAAGACTCGACAGTGTTCAAGCGAGTTAACAGGACAGTTCCATGTATTTTATTGCTCCTATTAAGCTTACGTCCACCGAACAAAGCGTTACCTATCCGGAGGTTTGATTTATTTGATGCAAACTTCCGCCCTTTTTCAAATTTGAGATTGTTTTAGATCTTAAAGAATCAACAATATTATTACCAATAAAAATAATAGAAAAACTTATTGACTAGTTTCACTTCAACGTTAATCTAGCTGAAGAAAATTTAATGGTCGTGCTGCATATCTTATTGTGTTACGTTAAGGTGAACTTAATGCGGCGAGGAACTCAAAGAGTTCGCGCTTTAGACCCCGTAGCTTAGAGAAAGAAATGTATCTACATCGGGAAGAAAGACGACTCAGACTGGAAATTTAAGACGACTCTCGAAATTAGGAAGCGCATGATTCTCAATTAAATAAGTTAGGTTCAATATCCTAAAATATAGTTCCCAAACGGAGCTTGCGGCACATCGCTTTTTATTTGATGTCTTCTTTTTTTCAAATCTGTCTAGACAGGAATTAGGATAATATCAGTGGCAAGGGAGGAATAATAGCTTTCTTATTATGTCTTGATAAAAAAACACACACAAAATGGCTAAACGGCTAAGCGTAAGCTGTCTTTCCCAATTTAGAACACCGAACGATGCGAATAACCTCGTTAAAACAAGCAGATAACAAAATTCCTCTAATCAAATAGAGGAGCTTAATAAGATATATGCGAGAGAAAATTGCTTTTTTCTTGTGTAAATAGCAGTTACGGTTCAATAAATTTGTAAAACCAATTACGTCGCTTTAAAGGAATTTAAGTGTTATCGACGATTAGTCTTTGGTTTTACTTGAGCTCATATACAATCTGAACAAATATCCGAAAGCAAAACGTAATTGAGAAACATATTACTCGAGATTAATTTAATCTAGGACTCGATGATTTTCTTTAAGCATGGTGTGATCGACCAGACTTCTTGGGTCTAAATTTTGATGATGAAACAAAACTCTAAGGAAAATATAATAGCTTGTGCTCGATTTGTGAAAATTTAGTTGTATGCGGTACTAATAATAGTTTGCGAATGAGAACCTTGTTAAGATAATTAAAATGATGTTCGACTTGCTAAGCCAAATTTTGTTGCACAACGTTTAGGAAGTGAGGAAGCAAGTATGGCCTTAAGCGGTAACTTTTGTCTCAACGTCTCAAGTGTAAGGATGTCAATTGGTCGATGAGATACGACTACTAATTTAGTGATTAGTCTATTGTATGTGTAAGAAATATTAGTATCTGTAGGATGGAATAACGTGAATAGCAACAAAATGTTTAGCTGGGCTTGTTGGTTCATGACTGGAAACGAGCGCCGAAGGAACAAGGGACAGGTGAAGAAGTGGACGACAACACGGGGTGCACGGGGTTCCAGTAACACGGGGTTCCAGCAACACGTGGTTCCAGTAACGTGAATACATGGGCACGTTGGTTCAGTGTTTGAGTGTGAAAATCACCGAATATTAAAAGGGTCAAACGCAAGACGCTACGCAACACAAGCTGTTGTGTAGCTTCTTACCTCTACTCATGCAGCTTTTCAACACTTTTTTCTTCTTTTTTTTTTTACATTCTGACAAACTGTGCCTCATTGCGGCCCCTTTTGTAGGACCGAGCGTGATAAACGCGCAATCACATTAAAAAGTACGAAGAAATAACTTGGTCTAAAAAGGTGCAGTCGCACCGGTCAGGACTAGGTGCTGCAACTGCGAGACGATATTTCATGAGCTTCAGAGCACATTGAGAGAAGTCGGAAGCCACAAATTGAACTCAGTAACAATTTATTGTGTGAATGTTTAGACAGCCGGAGGTTTGTTTGCCTTAAGGGCTCAAGGTGAGTCTGAATTCTCCACTGTGAATGAAGAAGCTAACCATTGCAATACAGAGGATAGCCTGTGGTCTAATGTAAACAACGCGGTAGTGATAAGAGTAAAGTGATATATGATTTGTAAATATGAATACCCTTAAGAAAAGAACATGCTTACCTTATGTTTAGACTAGGTCACCGGATAAAAAAATCGAATAGAGCATGGCCTACACCGTATGGAATAACATTGTTTTCCTGATGCCCACAAATATCGCCTTGTCTACTTTCTTTGACAATGTTTCATCTTCATACCACAAAAAGAAAAGCAGAACCTAAAAGAAAGCTTGATGTAAGAACTTTTTGTCCTTTGTACATTGCAGGTCATCAGCCTCTACACGACCTAGAGATTCGAGTGAGCAATCGTTCCGACCTGCAGAACAGCCGCCTGTGTGCATGGTATCCTGGAACTTTGGGTAAGGATGATAAAGGTCAACCAGGGGTTTGTTTTAAGCTAATATTGCACGGGACATTCCGTTTCAGCTTCATTGCAAGGTCTCACGTGGTGTCTATACGTTAATTTTAACGTCTCACACCACCGATACAAAGTCCATGGACTTTCGTAAAGGCGGCGTTTGGCTGAGTGCTTTGATATACACAGGAACGATAACTTCATAGAGACCCTGTTCAAAACAAAAAATTTCTGCGGAATGAAAAAAAAGTATGAAAATAAGAAACGTTTTAATTTTTGTTTGTGATGTCTCACGGGATCATAATACCCGGAAATATTACGTTTTTTTTATTTTTATTATTGTAAGCCGAAATTCAACAATCTCTAAATGTGGACCATAGAACCCATTGTAAACGATATTTTGGGGCCCCAAAGGTATACGTTCCTGAGATTTCTTATTAGTATTAATGAATACTGTATTTCGGCCTTTCATAAGCCCTTTAAAGATATTACAAGTTACGCAGTTTTTCAGCAAAAATAATTTTTTACGGGGTTCACTGTAAAAGAGAGAGCAACGAACAATCTCCAGATAGTTGGACAGACTACTGGAACACAAGTTACTTCAACTTAGTGTAAAACGGACTACAGAATGCAGACATCTAAATTTGATTAGTAAGTACACAAAAAATGCAGGAAGACAATTTTCCCGGTTTGCCCTTTAGTAAGAACCCGCGTCACTTTCTTGAGCGGGATAATTCAGCACCTACAGTGTTAAGCTATTTTCCAGCGTGCCTCGTGAAAAACAGAGCTTTGTAACACCACGCAGAGGACGGCGTGAGCAAAGACTTCGAGTGTGCATATCCCATCATGGGCCGCTACGTCTACGTGCACATGGTAGGCGGAGAAGGGTCCCTGTCCCTGTGCGAGGTCATGGTCTTCACTACGCAAGGTAAGCCTAAACACCGACATCTCTCATTACCGTAAACAAGCGCCGAAAAAAAGACAGGGACAAGAACTTGACGTAAACACAAGCGCACTCGCAACTAACATTTATTGAAAAACAAATTCATTATATAGCTGTGAAAAACGTCAGTCGTGACTACAACCGATGTAGTCCTCTACCAAGAAATTCATATTGTTTTGTCGATAAGGGTTATGGATGCGTCATTTGTACATTTCATGCCTTTGGCTTTGAACTCAAATGCCATGTGTAGCTCTCTAGATACTTTATCTGGGTATCTGGCCAAAAATGTCGTGCGGTCAAATGACGGGGAGCAAGGGCAGCAGCTGCTTGGCTACGATATTGTTCTTCCCAGCATGCAACACCGCGCTCTTCGCATGCCAGGTAAGCGTGGACCGCAAAAATAAATGGCATAGTTTTGGCTGAGAGCTACTCGTCGGGGAAGAAGTTTCTGCGAGATTGTAACGTAAAGGCGGATATAGTATACGAAGTTTTCAGTCCTGCTTTTTCTACGTGGGGGCCTCGTTGACGTCTCAAGCCAACATCCCCTAGAATAATCAAATCTCGTGGACCGGCATTTCGACGTCGTCAAAGTTAGACGGACTGGAAGCTCATGACTAGACACTAGTGCTGCGTCACCGTTTGCCTGGGCCTCGTGTCAAGGGAATGAGTTCCTGGACTCTCGACGTCAGGCTCGGGACTAGTTGCTGAGCTGGCGCCATTCTATTGTGAAGACGTAAAGGAAGGTAGAGGAAGCATTGCACAATTTAGGATTATTTCAAGTAACCTTGCTGAAGCGCGATATCTTTTGAGTCTCTGAACTAGATCGGAGTGGCCATCGAAAGAGAAAGGCGGTGACCATGTGATATCCAGAGTGTGGTGCGCAACGGCATGCTACCAGGGTAGCTGAGATTTTGAAAAAGAAATTCGTATCCTTAAACTTGTGATAAAAAACAAGAATGTTTATATAAAGAAATGAGACGTTTACAAATCTCTGTAATGCGAAATTAGAGTGCAGCTCTTGGGGACGAGGAGGGGAGGGTACGGAGGGGATGGTATGACCCTCTCCTCCTCCCATCCTCCTTCTTTCGTCCTCCTCCTCTCACATCCTCCTTCCCTCCTCCTCCTGCGTACCCTCCCCTCTTCCTTTCCCGTACAGTCCCCCCCCCCCCCCACGTCCTCCATACCCTCCGTTCTCAGTTTTCTCGCTAAATTGAGCTGAAAAATTGACGCCAGGTGATGTTAACAACAATTCAGTTTTCCCGCTAAATTCAGCGGGGAAAATGACGTCCCATAAATTCGTGTCACATCACCCTTCAACACCATTTCAGTTTTCCGCTAAATCTAGTGAAGAAACTGAATTTTCCCAATAAATTTATCGGGGAATTGAATTGGTGTTTAGGTCACGTCACGTCAATTTTCCTGCTAAATTTAGCGTGGTTAGGCCGACGGCGACGGCGACGCGGCAATACACAAATACAAACGCCTAAAAACTGCGCAAAAAAAAAAAAAGAGAATATTTTAAAGGCGTTAAGATTTTGTTTCGGGTACCCGAGTATGCACTGCTCGACACCGCAAAGCGCGGACCCGACATCCACGCGTTCTTGCATCAAACGTCAAAAAAGTATTGGTGGGAATAAAATTTCACCGCTTAAGATCAAAACCCCAGAAGGGAACTTCCTCACCCCGATAGTAGTTTTAATGTTAACCTTTTGAATAAAAACAGGAACAAAACAAAAATACAAGCAAACTTGCCGACTGCTTTTTTGCACTTGATCAATATCGCGCCATGTAGTACGTATATGACATAGCACAGTACGTGAAAAGAAACTCCCTGAAAATACACACAGTGGCAGATGACATTTGGCTTCCGTTCAGTATTGCTCCTCTAGTACCTGCTACGACAAGTTATGCTCTGCTGTGGAACGCCTTGAACACTCATGCTGGCATACACAAGCATTTACAAATACCAGCGGGAAAAGAACACAGACCACAAAAAAAAAGATAGGTTGTCAACTCGCATATAACGCAGAGGCGCGTACTCGACACATATTCGCGCATACATTTAAAACCTCCTTTTTCCTTTTGTATATGTTCTGGCTATATATATGCTAAGTTACGCGGACGAAGGTGACTACAACCGACATTGGCATTCGTATAGATTTCAAATACTTTAGAGGAAGCCGAAAGAGTTAAAGCTTTTTCTTATTCTTGTTGTACAACGAAGACAATGCTTCCCTTTGGAATTCTCAGAACTGCCACCGAGCGAATTCGAAAGTTTTTGTTATTGTGAAAGACAGATGGTATCCGAGCCATTGTCGAGCAGCTTCCAGTTTCCGAGACTCCGAATGCTTGTCGTGCTGGGACCGAACTTCTGAGGATATAGTTCCAGGAAGGCATCACGATGAAATATATAAAAGAATAGTATATTCAGTATAATAAAAGATGAACCTTGTTTTCAAATTTACTTCAGGATACGGTCCCTCCGTTTTATCTACATGACGAGCCAAGAAGCACGTGTGAATTAAAGAAAAAATGAAAGACGTTAACACATCTCTGTAATGCGAATTTAGAGCGCTGCTCTTGAAGAGGAGGAGAGGAGGGAACGAAGGGAAGGGTATGCACCTCCTCCTCTGCTCCTCCACTTCTCGTCCTCGAGTCTTCCTCCCCTCCCGCTCTGCTCCTCTAACATAGCTCGGTCAGCAGACGCAATCACACGGGCAGAGCTCGGTCAACAAGGGAGATCTGCCACCGCGTTTGCAAACTGGAAATAAGCTGCACGCTCGCCTAGATGCGCTTGGCTGAAATATTGGCATCTGGGCAAGCACTCTCCAACACGCCGAAGAAAGACAACAGTAATAAAACAAGAAGTTCGGTCCAGCGACGACTCATAGTAGTAAGTCAGGCATGACTGAGGGCACGTCAACTTTGCCAGGTCAAAGAGAAGAGAAGAAACAAAGAAAAAAGAATGTCGACTTGTTTGATATTCAAACTGTACTGCAGCTGTTTGCCCTACGCATGCAGGCGTATAGAAAATTTCGAAAAACTGTCATTTGTTGGCAGCACTAAAATCCCTGTAGAATGGCGGACTAAAACAGCAACTTCACGGCACACTTTATGCGTTAAGTTGGGTTAGAAGCAACGTTATTGGATTAGCTCAAATCCGGAATTACTCATCGACGCGGTTTGCACAAGCATTACTTCCCTTCACTCACCCCGACTTGCCCCCCGTCGTTCGACGCGCCACACGGCTGCTATGGTAACTGCAGTGCATTCTATAGAATACGAACGTTTCGAAACACAGCGTCTAGATGTTTCCAGCCCTGTTCTATAGAACACACAGTTATAAAAGGAAAATCCAGATGGCGCTTCAAACGACGGGAGGTGGACTGAAGTGAGGGGGGGGGGGGGGGGGTACCCTTTTCCGCGGGAGTTCCACAACTGAGACAATCTAGTAACGTTAATTAGAAGGCCGAATCACACCAACAGAAAGAGGTTATGAGCGCAATGACATTGCATTTTCGACGCTGTTTGATTGGTTCGTCCTCTCGTAGCGTTGGCTGCGCTCCGATGTTCTCTATAATATTATGGAATGACATGCACGTTCCACGATATCAGTTGTTCCGCCATTGTACAGTGTTTCTTACATTCTATTATTTGGCGCCGTGACTCCCGAAATGGGTCTATTGCAAATATGTTTGGGAGGCCCTCTCTCACCACTTGTTTTGCGCATTAGCGTTAAGAACTGGAGGATAAAGCTGCCTTGTTTGCACTGTTCCATGGCGCTTCATTTCGTCCCGAGGTTGAAGTCGAAAAGCTTTTGCAAAGGTTTAGTTCGTAGCCAACCGGCCACATTAGGCGGCACCAGCAGAGTGAGAGCCCACGGTTATAGCCTGTCTCGTTCTAATTTGGCAAAGGTTGAACGATAAGCCCCACATCGTGTGCAGATGGCTTCGATATGTGCTATGTATAGACATTTTCTTCGCTTACCACCCCGGCGAAAAATGCTGAGTCATTGAGCTCTGGACGCATGCGCAGATTTCGATATATCGTACAGCAGAGCAACAGCGCATGCTCAGAAGGCCTTCCACAGCCAAGCAGACAAAGATGGCAGCGCACAAAAGCCGATTTTTGCAAAGGACTATACGAGCGCAACACAAATATATTGGAGGTTTACACAGCGCGAAGCCGGATACTTCTCCGCAGTAAAAGCACACTCCAGTGATACATAGTCACGTTCCTATTGGCCCGTCGGGGCCGTAGCTGCCGCCGTATTGACATGTTATCCGATCACGGCTTCCTGGCCTACCCAGTATTGCTTGTTTCAAACACTAGGCTAAGAGGCGCCACCAGAGTAATAGCTCACGTTTGAACAATGCAGCCGCCACTCTCAAGCACACCCAAAGTTTCTTGCTTCAGTCACAAGATAGTGTCAAACCAAACAACATTGCAGGTTGCCTATGGGATATCTGTTTTTTATCCTATATATTTTTAGAAAGGACAGTTGGTCTACCCTCCTCACCGTGGGGGAGGAGGAATCAGGCAACGGTGGACAGGGTAGAGGGGGAGGGGAGAAAGGGAGGAAGAAGTGGAAAGCGCGAACTGGTCGCCGGTCTTTAAGATAACGAAAATTATATATGCGACCACAAAATAAACCTGGAAAAAAATATCGTGCCAGAAACGACGTTTTTTTTTGTTGTTTTTTTTGCTTTTTAATGTAGGAAGAGCTTAAAATCAAATTTTTTTTTTTTATGTTCCCCGTTCGTTTCTTTTTCTTTTTAGAGAATTGGCTTGGGGCTTACATTTGGAGTTCATTGGTATTTACCGAATACACATAACTCTGATTATTGCCGCAAGAAACACTTTTCCAGAATTCATTAAAAATATTGTGGTCTCCATTTGTTTTTTTCGCAAGAATATATATTTTGGTAGTCGCTAAACACTGACGCAACATTCGTTTTCAGTACGAGCTGACCCCGGGTCAGTCCGAAAGCTCACGCAACCCTTGTGTCCAGTAACAGTTGAGTGCACGTGCCCAAATAACGGCAGACTCGGATAATTACCGCAGTAGCCATCAGATGCAGCGTGCTTCTTCAACAGGGGCCTATTGGCAATTCTCCACCCTGCAGAGTTCTCGCCCGACCGGTGCGGCAACCGTGTCGAGCCCCTGGAGCTGACCACGTTCATCCGCAAGTGCTACGAGTTCCAGGGGAGCCGCGGAGGCTCGTTCCAGGACGCGTCCGCCTACTGCCAGACCAGGGGCGGGCTCCTGGTGCACGGCGTGGACGACCTCATTCTGCCCTTCATCTCGGCCGAACTGGAGAGGAGACGCGACAAGCTCAAGTCCAAGCTGGTCTGGATGGGCGCCCAGCGACGCACGGGCATCGGTCTCAACAAACGGGGATGGTACTGGGTGAACGGTACGTCGCGGGTGTCCTTCTAGAGCGATGGCTTGATATGCATATGGGGGCCACACGCGGACGCTGATTGCTCGTGTTCCCGTCGGTCGCACCGTAGCACGAGGCCAAGGTAGAGAACGTCAGCTACAGAGAGTAGCTGCTGGTTTGAAGCCAGATTGCTGCACGGACTACGCGTGACATGACTGGAGGAAGGAAGGGGGAGGGGGGGGCAGGGGTATACGGTGCAGTATCACTCCCCTCTTCCTTCCTCTACCCCTTTTCCAACCTGGTAGGAACAGGGCCTCCGTATTAAGGTCGTATATACGTGTTCACGCTATCGCACCTTTAGTGCACTTAAAAAAAATCTAAGCAAGGAAAATTTAGTTTTTGACTGTTTGCCTGCCCTGCCAGGAGACGGATGGCTGGCAGGTCAGGTGCGAAGACAATGTCTGCTTGATGCCGCGGTGCATGTTGCGACGTCGTATCTCTGAATTTAATGTTGATGGGAGGATAGCAATCATGTCCTCGAGCACTGTTGAATTAGAGAACTCAGAATTAATTTGATTGACACGCAAACTTAATATTCATTGGATACCGTTTTCTACGAACTTGGTTCTCGGATTTGGGCATTGAAGTTGGCGCCGAACGCTGTTTAAATAGGCGGAAAAGTGTGCACCCAAAAGTTTGATCGAACAGTGTGTGTTTGATAACACTTATAGACTTATAGATTTAATTCATCTGTACAATACCATCTCATCAGCGGCGGTGAACATCGTGAAATACTGCCAATGAATACTTTAGCAGGAATGATACTTGGAACAAATTCCTACTCTGCCTTGGAATGACCATCAAAACATCACTCGAGTACTTAATTTCTGTAAAGAAACCGATGGAGATAAAGTCACTTCTTTTTTGCATGAAGTGGTGCTGGCACCATTTCATGGTATGAAGAAGAACAGATGAACTTGCGGCATCCTCTGTTCTATTCGATTCAGCACATTGTTAGTCAGGTCGTCGATCAGCTTTTACACTGTGCTTTTAAACATTATGGTCTTTTCCTTCGTTTATTTTTATGGAAGCTTGTGTCAACGGGTACGTCCAGTACGGCCGTAGACGTCCGTAATCCTCCCCCGGCATCATTTCGGTCGTTTCGCCGCCGAACTTGGCCGAACGAAGAACTTGATCAGATGAAGCTGTTCGTAAAAACGTCCACTATTTAGGCTCGTAACTACGTCGTAGTTCTGAAGGAGGCGCATAACCACTGCGTAATTGGTTCTGTACCACAAGGGATACCTTTATATCACAAAACTAAGCGGAAGCGATATAACACACCAACACAGCCTCGAGCCCGCTGAAACCGAAACCAACCAAACTGAAACCACCTTATGGCGCCGTGTGTGTCAGCGCCCTCTGTCCCCCCATCAGGCAACTACGGAGATGGAAAGGTCTATACTCCAGGCTATATTTTACAGCAGTAGCTACTCCTCAGCTTATAGACCGACACGCTGTTTCCAAACAAGCCCGCGTTTGCCCACACCATGTGTGGGCACTGCGCATGCGCAGACACCACATTCAGAAGGATAAGCGTGGGCGCATGCGCCGCGGCGTCGACAGCGCCACCGCAGCTGAGTGACGTCAGGGCCACGTGTTGGTCTATACCTGACCATCACCACTATATTTCTTTTTTTAGGAGATCCTGTTCGGGAGTTCTTGTGGGCCGAAGATCAGCCGAACAACTACAATGGACAGCAAAACTGTGTGGTCATAGACGGAGGACGGAAGTGGAGATGGAATGATGTCACGTGTGACCTTGACTACCTACCCTGGATCTGCCAGTACAGTGAGTTGTCGATTTACTGGTTATCACGGCAATTAATCGAAGTTGCAATAGCTACATAAAGACGTTGGTCGAGTATCGTAAGGGGCATAAATTGGTTAAGAGTTTTTAGTGAGGATTTTTATCGCATATGTTTTAAATCAGCAATTCTAATTTAAATCTCTGAAAATTTAATGAAAAATATATTACAAATAATATACGCGCTTATTTTGATATATTTATAGCCAGAAAAAAGTATTGACGGGATGCTTTTCAAGTCAGATTTAAAAGAAATAATGTATGACTTACGGTTATATGTTCTGTTTAAAGAAGTTAAAAAAAAAATTAATGATATCGTTGCTTTGAAATCGCAGGACAGTTTTGCAATGCGTATTTGTGTAACCTATACTTTGCTATGTACAGAAATCGGTCTTGATTGACAGTTACGCCTAACTACGCGAAATGTTCCGTAACAGCAGAGATATCTGTCGTTGTTTTCCACGACACGCTTTTTCCCCCGTTTAAAAATCTATGTAATTAATTTGACTGTGGCTGTTTACAAGAACTTCTGCCTTAAACCATATGTCTGTGAATGCTTCTGAACCTCAAGGTACGCTGAAGGGGCCGTTTCGGTGTAATCTCGCCTGCTATTTTTCCTTATATTTCAAATTCTTTTTGAGGCCGTTCGGTCGTCATAATTACGTATTGCTACATTTAACGGATATTCAAATGTAAAACTTCAGGGAGGCAGGCGAGCAAGGAAGATATCTTCAACAAAATACCCTTATGCAAGCAAACAATGAGATCAACTAAGGGGTTTACTGAAACATTTTCCTAAAAATAACAATGATATGTATCATTCTCATCAGTTGTAACCCGCAAAAAAGTTTTCGTAAAATCAATTGAGGGAACCATTTTGGCTGCATCACAAAATCCCCAAATATCCCCAAGTATCTTGCACGAAATTGCAGATCCTTCGAACTGCGGCAGCCCCGACAAGAAGGAAAACTCGACGACCGCGGGTCAAGACTACAGAGTGGGCCAGGAGGTTTCCTACGACTGTCCTACCGGAAGTCTTCTAGTTGGCAGCCGTACCCGCAAATGCGCCGTTTCCGGTTTCTGGACCGGTAGCGCGCCCTCGTGCAAGTGTAAGTGTGAAAGTATGCAGCTAGGGGGTAGGCGCGGTGAAAGCTCATCCTGCCGACTTGAAGTTGCACTAATGATGCTTCCGGCTTCCTCTTGCTTTGACACTCAATTGATCTACATGCTTTTATATAAAACACGTGAAAGAGAAAAAAAAAAAGAAGCGATTTCGCTTTTCTGTACCAGAGCACAAACGAGTTGGACAAAACACAGCGGCCTTCGGTCAGTATCGAAAGAAATACAAATCGAGGGGAAATATAAAAGGGAGGTATATTTAGAAACAATTTAAACAAAAGTAAAAAAATAAAGGGAAACCTATAGGGGAAAGAAACAAGAAAAAAAGATTAGGAAGTGAAAAGAGATGGAAAGAAAAAGAAAGAGCAGCGAGCAGAAGATTGAATAGAGATATTGTGCAGAGATGAGAAGAAAACCCCTCGTGAGTGAGCTGTAAACAGTAAAGAGTTAGGAGAACACTCTGTTCAATCAATTCAAAACGGGTTGTTTTAAGTACAAAAAAAAAACGACATTTGAAAGACCAATTTAAAACTGCATATAATAACGTCAACGTCCAAATTTAAACCAATCTTTTTCTTGAAAAAAAAATGCTTTCATTGATGTATTGACGACACAACTCAAACATAATGACAGCGTGACTGAACCAATTACTTCACTCTCTTCAGCGCATTGTGGGCAGGACTTGCAGCGCTTTCTCACCGCGCATTATTAAAATCGCAGGTAAAAAATAAAAACGTGAAAACAAATCCATGAATATCGACGAAAAATTACTACCTTTCAGCGAACTTTTAAAATTGGTCTGCCCCCTAATTCGAATAACCATCAAATATGACCCAGAAAGCTAATGACTAAATATCTAACTATTCCACTTATCGTTAATTTTTTCCTCTCATTGTCCTCCGAGCCTCGTGAAAAGAGGGCAAAGACGGTTTCCAGGTGATCCTTTCAAATTTTTTTGTATAAAGTCTATTTGAATTAAAGTCAAACAATATAGTATAATGCTTAAAAAATGAGAACTCATGACCATTTCATGAGAGAGAATGTGCTTTTTTATTATACACCAAATGGCGCCTAAATTATTATTAATATTATTTGAGATAGTGCAGGCTTTTTTGTAGGACCAGGCAAGGTACAATCAATAATAATATTAAAAAAAGAAAAATACGGAACGGTGCACACAGTTTAAATTCACAATTTGAATTACGCAACGACAGTATATGAAATGTCTGTAATAACAGATCATGAGCGGAAAATTTTCTATATAAGGACATAAAAATACCGTAGCAATACAAAGTCACGACACTTACTCCAATAAACAAGGCTTAAGTTTGCACTGAACATGAAAAAGAGTTTAGATCATGGAAATTCTTAGGCCAGTCTATCAGCGAACAAAAGCGATTTCGTGATTTGGACCAATTCTTCAGGTGGCGAATTCCAATCTCCTGCGGTTTGAACGAAATATGAAGATTTGAATGCATCATTATTTCTGCGATGCCGTCTTATAATTTTAGTTGGCGCTCTATGGCCTTAGTAGCTTTTGCGCCATAAACAACAAATCAACCAACTTATAATTTTAGTGTGGTTAGTTTAATTTGAGTGACTGTATGGTGTTTTTAAATAATTATTCAAATTTACTTTGAGCTAAACTAATGCCTAAATTTCAATCGGGCTATGTTTTGTCTTATTTCCAACGTGTAGAATTCGAATATTTTAATTAAGGCCGTCATACGTTCCCTGCGTCTAGATTGTGAGAAGATAAATCTCAAGTTACAGTTCTGGGTTTTGCTTAATAGATTTGATAAGTATTTTTGTTAATAATCCCATACGAGGCTTGTATATTCTAATGAAGGTCGCATTAGGGTCTTATAACCAGCGAATTTACATTCTAGCGTTGAGTGGTTTAAATTTCTCCCCAGGAAACCTAATTTCTTGGCGTGCCGTGTTGCAGATAAAATACGCATATTTGTACCCTTTTAACTCACATGATATTACAACCCCAAAATATTTAACTGTGTCTATTTTCATTAAGGGGATTGTTGAAATTTCACAAAGAAATTTATAAACTTCCTTTTTGTTCGTTATTGTTATGGGAACCGATTTATCATGAATCATGAACATAAAAAAAGGCACCAGCGTGGCACGGCCTGTAACGAAGAATACAGTTTTGCTTGGTCGCTCTTTTCAATTATTTCAAAGTACATGACACACTCACCCGCGAATAGCCTGACCGTCACCGATGGATCGATATTCCTACCCAAGTCGTTTATCTGAAGAACAAATATTAATGGCCTCAGCACCGAACCCTATGGTACTACGGAATAGACATCCAGCGTTGTTGAACATTGATAACTGATTTCTACAAATTGTAGACGTCCGCTAAGATACGCTTCTATCCATAGTAAAATATTCGCAATACCGGTAGCTTGAAGTGTATTAATTTGTTTACTATGGGGCACACGGTCACCGGCCTTCGAAGCATCACTGAAAATAGCATTGGTTTGACCTCGGTTATTAATAATTTCCGCGAAATCATGAACTAACATGAATCGGAGCATTACTTGAGGGTAAATGCTTCAGAAGATGACTCGTTCTTTGGATCTTTCGCAATGGGTGGGGCTGGAGCGGAGCACGGCATCGATGGGCAGATAAGTTTAGTGCTTTGCTGTCTGGACAGAAAACGAAAAAGCGGTGTGATGTAGGACGAGCACACGGCGGATAAACGGCTCTCTGGTGACCGATGTGACATAAAACGCGATGAACTGGCTTGATTACAGTGTTAAAGTAAACTTTGTGAAGTTAAAGTAAAAGAGTTAAAGTAAACTTGTTTAATTTTGTAATAAAACCCGCAAGTTGCGACAATTCATAAACTCTGGGGGTTGTCGGTCTCTTCAGATATGGACTGCGGCAATCCAGAGTCCGTGGAAAACGGCCAGTTTGTGCTTCTTCACCGGCGGACGACCTTCAACGCGACGGTGGAGTACGTCTGCGACGCCAACTACACGCTGGTCGGGAAACCACGCCGGATGTGCGGCGAAGACGGACGCTGGAACGGCAGCCAACCCTCCTGCCTGCGTGAGTTTAAAAAGGAATAGCTACGGATAAAAAGAATTGCCTGCTGCCTATACTCGGGAGCCAATTTTTATGGCAATGAAGCCAAAGCTATGGCTGCCCGTGCACTAGAGCACCTAAAAAGCGAAGCAACGCTGTGCACGTGTGGTGTCAAAGTTTCTGAAATGTTGGAAAAAGTTGTCCCCTAGTAAAGCGCTTCGAAATCCTGATCATGGCAGTGCCAGAATGTCTTAACGAGCGCTTCACTTAGGGTTGTAACATCTGACCGTTTGATCACGACGCTTATCTGGAGAATGAGCTCTTGGCACGAGCTCTTGGCACGAGCTCTTGGCACGAGCTCTTGGCCCTGATTGCGCTACGGCAAAATTTTGTTAGTGGCTAATTTCAGGCCAAAGAGTAATTGATTGAAAGAAACGACAGTTCCATGTAGTGTAACAATAGCTTCAGAGCACACGCTTGGGCCAAATGGCCCTGCTTTTTTCGTCGCAGTGAGCTTCTGCTCGGAGCTCGCCCCGACGCCCAGCTCGAGCGTCCAAGTGCAGGGACTGCGGTTCGGCGACCGCGCCCGCTACACGTGCAAAATGGGTCACAAGCTCATCGGCAACGACACCCGCTACTGCCAGCTGGGAGGCAACTGGAGCGGGGACGAACCCACCTGCAAATGTGAGTACGCATACAACTATCGTATTGAAACAACCGACCAGAGCCACTAAATAAACTACTCCTAAAGTATCGACACTCAGGTTCCCGGATTGTCTTGTGAGCGCCGCCATTTTTGTCTTAAGGACAGTGTGGGCTCAATAGACATGTTGGAAAACGTGCAGCGCCGCCCGCGGCGCCGAAAAGATGTCCGGAACGGTCTCTGGGGAACCGGCTATGGCTAAGGAGCGGCTTTATTTATTGCAGACCAGAGGGGCGATGGATAAGACGCAGGAAAGCAGTCGAGGGCAGGCCAAGCACCTGTGCTACCTACCCTCTCTCTGTCTCTCTTCAGTGTCACGTGGTTAGATAGGGATAATGATCGCACGTTAAGAAATCTGACTTCCTAAGATTTAGATACGGTGTCAGGAATCTGAGGCGATAGTTTTGCTGTTACAAACTGTTTTCGGAAAAGCTTTTTTTTTTAATTTCTTACTATAAGTAATTTTGCTCCAGATAATTGGCAACAGTCATTTTATGTAACAAGAGAATTGACGAGTCGTTACTCTAAAACGTAGCTGAATTATTTGGTGGCTCTACTATCGACGCCTTGCTGCTCTATTTACTGACGAAAAGGCAAAAAGCGCACAAGAGACGGGGGACTAAAGGAAGTGCAAACAGGACAAGCGCTGACTCTCAACGGAACTTTAATCACATGAAAACAAAACAAAGAAAAGAGAAACCCCGCCCACGTCACATGATACATTCCACCACGAGTCCAAAACAATAATCTCTTTACTACTTAAGCCCAGTGACGTTTGGCTTACGCAGTTGGCGCCTGCTTTGATAATTGCATGCGCCTCTAAAACTTCTCTGTTCACTCTGTCCCTTTCATTGCCAATGATACCAGTCTCACTGAAGATAGGTTTACACCCACATCCATGACAATGCAGTGGCAGATTCCCGCCTACAGCTCCCACCACTGGAACGAAACGGCCGTCTGCAAATGGGGTGGGTTCTCTAAAACGTGTTGTTACCTGTTTTCAAAACAATGATATCAGTTTGCTACAGGCTGATAAGGAGGGAGGATTTGTTGTGCTACCCTGGAACCTCATGAACACCAAGGCTGACGATGCGATTATAAATAACTTATTACCAATCTTAAGCCAAGAAGGGTGAAATGTGCGGCAGCCAAGGCGTGCAAAGAATTAAAACTGTCCAAGCTGGAAGAAAAAAAAAAATTGGAAAGACCACGAAAGGTAACCTTGATGTATTCTTTTCTGTTAAGACACATAAAGTGAAGGCACCCCTGCGGACGATAGTTACAGGGAAGGGGGAGTGGCAGAGACAGGTCAGTCGATTCCTGCAAGAGCACTTAAGTCGGTTAGAGACCTTTGATCCCTTTTTTGGTGCGCCATTCGCAGTGTGTCATAGAGTACCTTAGCACTGGTGCGCACAGAGATGTGGGGGGCTTTTCCATACATGCTGAGGATCTTTTTCATTCCCTTCCTCATCACGCTTTGTTTGTCTCGGTACATGAATATACTGAAAGAAATGGCGAGATTGGCTTCCAGAACGCTAGCGGTGTGTTTCTAGAGCTGCTCAAGTTTTATCAGGAGACAACTTTTATTCTATTTAACGGCTTTACGCATTCGCAAAAAAAGAAATTTGTATTGGTTCATCTGTGGCGGCTGTGCTTTGTGATATTTTTTTAGCCAAGTGCGATAGGGCTTTATCTGATAAACTGGATGACGAGCGCGTTTGTAAAGTGTTTCGTTACGTGGATGACTTTTCGGTTTTCTTTATTAGAGTGAAGGGCATTGGTGAGGCAGATGTCGTGAGGTCTGTTTTAGAAGTTTTCACATATCATTCGGAGGGGTTCACTTTCACCCACGAACTTCAGAATGGGGCTTACCTACAATTTTGGGGTTTGAGATTAGAACTCACCGCTAAACATCTTTGCCGGTCTTATCACCCACGTTCAAAAAGGGTCTTCTTCCATATGATTCATCGCACTCTAAGCTGGTCAAGAGAAGCATTGCCTCGTCTTGCCTACAAGCTGCACTCGAGAAGTCATGTCGTCATGTGGTTAACGATAGTTTTTCCCGGCAGGTTGAGAGACTCACAGTGGCAGGTTTCCAAACTTCGGTTTTATTGAGCGTTGCGGAGGGTTTTTCTAAAGTAACTCAAGGGGGAACCCCGTCCCTAGAGGGAAAGGCCAAATAAGAGACCGCTCGTAATACTGTATCTCAATAAAATTTCACACAACTTGAAAAAAGTTTCCTTGAGGCACGATGTGCCATTGGTGTTTTCCGCGCCGCGTAAGCTGGCGCAACTGTGCGAGAGTTCGCGATAAGAAGGACAAATGCCCCGCTTGCTCGGTGAAGCATGAAAATCAATATGTTGTTTGCAAGGTGGGAGTTGCGTTCACGACTCCACTAACGTGTGGAAAAGCCTACGTCGGTCAGACGGGCAGATGTGTTAATCACAAACTGCGGGAGCATGACTTGTCGTTGCGATCAGTGGTGGGGGCTGTAGGGGGGCGTCTGCCGTTGCGTTGTCATGAATGTGGGTGCAAACCTATCTTCAGTAATACCCGTGTCAGACGGCGTTCTCAAGCTCCTTTTCACTAAGCTCCTTCATAAAATCGGCGAACCAGCGCACGCCGTAGGCAACGTGCGCACCCAACATTGCGAGCTGACTGGCTGATTTTATAATGGAGCTTAGCGAAAAGGAGCTTTAGAGCGCTGTCTGACAGCGGTGTAAGACCGGTACCATTGGCAATGGAAGGAACAGAGTGAACAATGAAATTTTAGAGGCGCATGCAATTATCAAAGCAGGCGCCAACTGCGTAAGCCAAACGTTACTGGGCTTAAGTAGTAAACAGGTTGGTTTTTTGGACACGTGGTGAATGTATCATTGACGTGTGCGGGGTTGCTGTTTTCTTTGTTTGGTTTTCATGTGATTAAAGTTCAGTTGAGAGTCAGGGCTTCTCCTGTTTGCACTTTCTTTAGTCCCCGTTTCTTCTGCGCTGTTTGCCTTTTCGTCAGTATGAACCAACTAACCCACATTACCATCCTTATTCTGTTTTATTTACCTCGAGATTGAGACGTGTCACCTCTGTGCGGCCGAAATTGTAACCATTCACGTGTATGGATACTGCGCGGTGTTGTCTGCTTTGGATTCTCGCTGTGAAGCATGAATTTCGATGGGGAAAGCCTGACTCCTGGTGAGTTGCTTTATTCATGTAAAATGCTTGTTGTTTTGCGAGAGGTAGTATCGATTCACGACGTGTGGAAATCGTCAAAAGCGAATAATCCCGAGTTTGGATGCTTACACAATGAAGCAAGTGTTGTTAGTGGAATCCCAGGTTTTCCCAATTTTTTCACTTGCACAGCTCACAAAGAGTCCGCGAAAATATAAAACATAATTTAGTAAACGAAAATTGAACTGATTGTTTTGAGAAGGACTGAGGATCGTCATGTCGCTAGCCCCCTTAAATGAAGGGGTTACTGGCGTTGCGATCGATACTTTATATTACTGTGTCGTGGTTTGGAGGGTGGGAGGTCCGAAGTCGCAGTAATTTTACTACGTATTTAAGAGGAAACTTTTAGACAGAGCTAGGTCAGACACCCTAGCCTCTTGACATCCACTAGCGACTGAAATAACTTTGAAGCGGAAGCAACCACACTACCGATAACAACAGTAACGACAGAAGCATGGAATTAACAAGCACGCGGCTACGTTGCTTGCATACTATCAACAGATTGATTCGGGAAAATTTATTTTAACAGTTTGATATAACTATCTTCACACTCGGTGCATCGTTGGTTTAAAGTCTTCAATGGTAGAATGCTCGCTTAAGTTAGCGAGCATCTTCTCAGAGAACGGCTCTTTCCTCAAGCAGTGATCTCGGATCTTAAAATATCTCTTTCCTCAGTGGAACGCGGTATATTAACAAGCAGTGCAGTTACAGTACGGACGAGCTCGTGGAAATCGCCCGTAATAAGGAATTGCCCCTAATAAAAAGAGCAAAAAACGTAATCTGAGTTGTGACATTAAGCAATGCAAAACGTCACGCTTGCATTGCTTAATGTCACAACTCAGACTGCGCTTCTTGCTCTAACTATATGTTTCGGCCTCGTCATTGGCTGAGCTGCCTCCTTAAGTTGCGGTGATTGGCTCTCCGAGTGTTGTGAGGGTACGTTGACACGCGGGCTTTTTTTAGAGTGACAGTGTAAAACGGAATTACATATTTTACACCAATCACGACGTCTTTATACAGTCACACGCATGTTCCGCTCTGATTTAGGTACATCTATTTGTTCAGTCGTACATATGTGAGGTCAGACAAAATTGGGTCTCGATGTTCTTCAGTTTCGATGCGACCAAACGCGAGCACCACTTGACGTGCATGAGCAAATTCATCGCGAACACGCTTTGCGTGAGTGTACAACGGAGTACCCACTGAAAGTCTCGCTCGTTGACCCAGAAGAGAACGACGATCGTCGATAATCGCCGAGTTGGCAGCAACGACGATCAGAACCGAACGCGACGCATATTCGGACTCGTCGAGTACCGCAGTAAACCATCAACAACCGCGAGCATCACGGCATAGGGTCCTCCAGTTGGCGAGGCTTGTTTTGGTTTGACGCGGGGGAGTGAAAAAGCGTGAGAAAGGGCCCAGCGTCAATAGGCTACGGCTCGCGGGAGCTACGGGGTTGACGTCATGCCCTCTCCATGTTTTCTAACCTCCACGACGTCGACACGTCGTTCATTTCCGCAATCCAGAAGCGGCCACCTTAGCCCAGAGTACGTAGCGCTGCTGACACTGTTCCGGAACTACACTGTTTCTAATGGCTTCGTTTGCTCGCTGACAAAATCAGTGGGGAACACGTCAATGCCATCGAGGTGGTTTGCACGTTTAGACTAGGAGACGGAACGGCAGGCGCCCTTCACTGCCGCTGAAGCTCAATCAACTCAAGTCGTTTATTAAACAACGCGCTCGACGTCCTCGAAAAAAA